AAAATTAAAAAGTTAGCCCGGTGTGGTGGTGTACACCTGGGTAGTTCCAGCTCCCCAACAGGCTGAGGCGAGAAGAGCTTTTGAGCCCAGGAATTCAAGATTACAGTGAGCTATGATTGTGCCACTGTACTCCAGCCTGGGTGACAGAGCAAGTCTTTGACACACACACACACACACACAAATGAAATTTTTTGTTTTCCTAGTGTTAGTGTTCATATGTAAACATTCAGACTCACTGAGGTAAGTATATGAATATATTCAAATGTTGATAAGGAAAGTTAATTCTTATTAATATCTTACTATTGTCAAAAAGTTGACTATTTCCTTATGGATTGTTTTTACTGATTTTTTAACTTTATCGTGTGAATCCAGGTTTCTTATCCAACTTGTATAAAACTGAGTGTATTTAGAAGTTGCTTTGACATATAGAAAGCCCATGGTAAAATCTCATGGTAAATTGATGTTTAATTGCTCTTGGTGGTGTACTACTTAATAATATATTGTTGTGTTGTGTGTTTTAGGCCATGACCACAATGTTTCTTCAGTAGCCATCATGCCCAATGGAGATCATATAGTGTCTGCCTCAAGGGATAAAACTATAAAAATGTGGGAAGTGCAAACTGGGTAAGTAAGTTCAATTGAAAAGGCATCAGCGGCTGAGGCGGGTGGATCACCAAAGGTCAGGAGTTCAAGACCAGCCTGGCCAACGTGGTGAAACCCAGTCTCTACTAAAAATACAAAAATTAGCCTGGCATGGTGGCAGGCGCCTATAATCCCAGCTACTTGGGAGATTGAGGCAGAAGAATTGCTTGAAATAGGAGGTAGAGGTTGCATTGAGCTGAGATCCTGCCAGGGCACTCCAGCCTGGGTGAGACTCCGTCTCAAAGAAAAAGAAAAATTGTGTTTTGGATGTTTCCGTCATTTCAACTTTAACCCAGGATGATCATTATGACAGTTATATTAAATATACCTTAAAACTAAATTTGATCTCTACATGTCTCCCATAAAGGAACACAGAGACTTTGTAAGGAGAGACTTTATGTCCTTGAGGGACATTTCTATGTAATGACTATTTCCTCTGTGGTCTTTTAGTTGATCTCTCTGTGAGTTTAAATTAAAATGTAAATAACCATTGTGCTGGTATACCTCTGTTAGGCTGAATTTCGTTGTGTGTAGAATTACACTTGATTTTTGTAATACAGACTTACTAGTTTTACTCAGATTAGTAGAGTATAGCTTTTTTTCCAGTATGGCTAGAAGTATTTTTAAGTATATGTTTAGTTTTGAAAGATCTTATCCCTATTTTACCTTCTAGATGTTGATTTTGTTAGCTCCTTAGTGATACGCCTATTAGCTTATTGTTCCCATTTGAATTAACCGGGATTGTACATTTATTCTGTTGACCTGCATCTCTAATTTGGTACCATTCTCTTCATCCCAGTACATATCTGTTTTTATATCGCTTCTGGGAAGTATCCTGGTGATTGTCATTCACAATGTAAATTATTATTTATATTGACAGCTACTGTGTGAAGACATTCACAGGACACAGAGAATGGGTACGTATGGTACGACCAAATCAAGATGGCACTCTGATAGCCAGCTGTTCCAATGACCAGACTGTCCGTGTATGGGTCGTAGCAACAAAGGAATGCAAGGCTGAGCTCCGAGAACATGAGCATGTGGTAGAATGTATTTCCTGGGCTCCAGAAAGCTCATACTCTTCTATCTCTGAAGCAACAGGATCTGAGGTATGGTATATTTAAACATGTCTTTGTGATTTTATTGCTGATATGGTAAAACCTTAGATAAGTTTTCTGATTCCCAGTTTCAGGGCTGTTGATGCATTTAAAACTCTGCATCCCAGAATTCTGATTCTTTAAATTCTCTATTCAAAGGTTGCAAATGTGTTTACATTATTTAACCAGTGATTATTATTGCTGTCAGCCTATCCTTGATTTCGTATGTGATGGACATTCTCCTAAAGAATAAAAATTTATCAGAAAAACCATTGTTATGAGAGCATCTCAATGTAAAACCAAACTTGAGGGAGAGGTTAAAGTTACCTGTTGGAAGAATAGCCTTCATTAATGAATATAATCATTTTATTTATAAATTTATGGTAAAATGTAGTTCAGTATTTATTTATTTTTTAAAATTAATCCCAGATGTGATTATATAAATGTTTATTTAAATGAAGACTGTTTCATATGGAGGCCTCTGTTCTTGATCATTTAAAAGTAATAGCTAGGCCGGGCGCGGTGGCTCATGCCTATAATCCCAGCATTTTGGGAGGTCGAGGCAGGTGGATCATGAGGTCAAGAGATTGAGACCATCCTGGTCAACAAGGTGAAACCCGTCTCTACTAAAAATACAAAAAAAATTAGCTGGGCATGGTGGCACGCGCCTGTAGTCCCAGCTACTCAGGAGGCTGAGGCAGGAGAATTGCTTGAACCCAGGAGGCGGAGGTTGCAGTGAGCAGATATCGTACCATTGCACTCCAGCCTGGGTAACAAGAGTAAAACTCCGTCTTAAAAAAAAAAAAAAAAAAAAGTAATAGCTAGGCCGGGTGCGGTGGCTCACGCCTGTAATCCCAGCACTTTGGGAGGCCGAGGCGGGTGGATCATGAGGTCAAGAGATCAAGACCATCCTGGTCAACATGGTGAAACCCCGTCTCTACTAAAAATATAAAAAATCAGCCAGAAATGGTGGTGCGTGCCTGTAATCCTAGCTACTCAGGAGGCTGAGGCAGGAGAATTGCCTGAACCCAGGAGGCAGAGGTTGCGGTGAACCAAGATCAAGCCATTGCACTCCAGCCTGGGTAACAAGAGTGAAACTCTGTCTCAAAAAAAAAATAAAGTAATAGCTAAGCCTGGAGTTTTAACATAATTTCTTTGTGATTCTTAGTTTGTGCTCTTTATGATTTTGGTCTTCATGATTAATACCTTAAACATAAATTACCTGCAAGGTGCAATGGCACATGCCCATAGTCCCAGCTACTTAGGAGGCTCAGGCAAGAGGATCACTTGTGCCCAGAAGTTCAGGTTCAGCCTGGGCAAACATAGCAAGACCCCTGTCTCTAATAAATGAATGAAAATGGTCTAAAAGGTGTTTGTCTGCTTTTGAGTTAGCGTCTCACTCTGTTGACCAGGCTGGAGATAAAGTGGCGTGATCTTGGCTCACTGCAACCTCCACTTCCTGGGCTCAAGTGATTTTCCTGCCTCAGCTTCTTGAGTAACTGGGACCACATGCATGTGCCACCATGCCAGCTGATTTTTATATTTTTAGTAGAAACGAGATTTTGCCATGTTGGCCAGGCTGGTCTCTTGTGAGTTCTCTTTATCTTGGTTGGCCCATTGCATTTTCAGATTCTGTTTACTGCCCTTTGGTGGTGGTTACATGCTGTATGTCACAAATTTGATTCTAAGGTGCGATGGCTCACGCCTGTAATCCCAGCACTTTGCGAAGTCAAGGCAGGAGGATCACTTGAGCCCAGGAGTTTGAGCAACATAGCGAGCCCTGTCTCTACAGAAAATGTTTTTTTTAAAAAGTCACCACTATACTAATGAGGAAAAAGAATTTTCAAAAATTTAACCAGATGTGGTGGTATACACTCCTGTAGTCCCAGCCACTTGGGAGACTGAGGCAGGAAAATGGCTTGATCCCAGGAGTTCAAAGCTGCAGTGAGCTATGATTGTGCCACTGCACTCGAGCCCGAGTGACAGAATGAGACCCTGTCTTGAAATAAATGAATATTCCCTAATTCAGATCAATAAATAAGTAAATTTAATTGTTTGCATTTGTAAAAGCTAAATTAAATAGTGACTACAGAAATCTTGAAAAGTAAATTATGGGCCGGGCGCGGTGTCTCAAGCCTGTAATCCCAGCACTTTGGGAGGCCGAGGCGGGTGGGTCACGAGGTCGAGAGATCGAGACCATCCTGGTCAATATGATGAAACCCCGTCTCTACTAAAAATGCAAAAAATTAGCTGGGCATGGTGGCACGTGCCTGTAATCCCAGCTACTCAGGAGGCTGAGGCAGGAGAATTGCCTGAACCCAGGAGGCGGAGATTGCGGTGAGCCGAGATGCGCCATTGCACTCCAGCCTGGGTAACAAGAGCGAAACTCCGTCTCAAAAAAAAAAAAAAAAAGAAAAGTAAATTATGAAATACCAATTTACTTGCTTCTGTTGGTATTATCAAAACTGAGTCCTAGCCTAAATACAGATTTTCTGTTCTTATATTATCTGAGTCCTTCCTGTATAGCCTAAATATGGTGTGAAAAGCTTGTGTATTTCAGCAGATAAAAACAAATTGGGCTGGGCGTGGCAGCTCACACCTCTAATCCCAGCTCTTTGGGAGACCCAATCGAGTAGATTACCTGAGGTCAGGAGTTTGAAACCAGCCTGGCCAACAAGGCGAAACCACATCTACTAAAAATACAAAATTTACCCGGATGTGGTGGCGTGCACCTGTAATCACAGGTACTTGGGAGGCTGAGGCAGGAGATTCACTTGAACCTGGTTTGGGGAGGTTGCAGTGAGCCAAGATTGCACCACTACATTCCAGCCTGGGCGACAAGTGAGACTCCATCTCAAAGAAAACAACCAACCAACCAACTTGAAACAAAATTTGAAATATAGATCATTATCTTAGAGGCCATTAAAGTCCTTACCTAACTTCTTGTATGAGAAACTTAATTTTTATTATGTTTTCTGTAGACTAAAAAAAGCGGTAAACCTGGGCCATTCTTGCTGTCTGGATCCAGAGACAAGACTATTAAGATGTGGGATGTCAGTACTGGCATGTGCCTTATGACCCTCGTAAGTTTGCGTCAGCTTACCATTTCTTTTGCATCTTTACTGTTTCTACCTTTTTGGATTAATGCTTTGTGATATCTTATTACATAATTTGAATTATTCTGGGCTTTAAAATAACTTCTCTGTAAAGATAGTTTCTTTTTATTTTTTTTATTTTTATTTTATTTTATTTTTTTGGGGCGGGGGAAGAATTCAGTTTATTTAATGTGTTTCTAGTAATGGAATCGTGGGGAAGAACAAAGTGGGCTCTGGGACTCACATTGCTTTGGGGAAGGCTCAGGCTTCCCAGAATCCCTTGTCCCTCCTCACTTTGGGCACTTAGGGGTGGGGCTGGGGAGTGAAAGGGACAAGGCAGGGCATGATTGATTAAAGCTAACAAGCAGACAGAAGGCACTGGCGGGTCATATCTCAGGCCAGGGAGAGGGAGGGCGTGGGCCAGGCCCCAGGTAACACCAGGGGCTCCTCAGCAGCCAGGCTTGGCCTCTAGTCCTTTCTCTTCCCTTTGGCTTTGGCTTTGGTTTTGGGGGTGCAGGGCTTGGTCACGCGGATGGTTTCCTGGCACTGGGCATTGTAGCGCGCCTTCTTCAGGGTGCCCTGGCGGACTTTCGTGACGGTGCCCCCATCACACGCACCCCAGTTCTCAAACTTGTACTTGCAATCCGCTCCAAACTCCTTCTTCCAGTTGCAGGGGATCCTGCACCGGATGCGCTGGGTCTGGGCCCCGCAGCTGCCCTCGGGGAAGCCCACGCTGCAATCCTTGCTGCTGGGGGTGCAGGGCCCCCAGGCCCACTCCTCCACGCACTGTATCCCTGGGCCGTCCTTCTTCACCTTGTCTTTCTTTTTGGCCACCGCTGAGGTGAGCGCCAGCAGCGCAAGGAGAGAGAGGAGGAGGAAGCCTCGGTGCTGCATCCTGGGGCAGCCGTGCGCTCACTCGCTCGCTCGCTGCTTGCGCTGCTTCGTTCCCTCCCACGCCAGGCCTCAGATAGTTTCCTTTTAATTTTGTGGTTGGTAGAGTGATGTAAAGTTACTTCTCTAGAATGCATGTTCTAGAAAGAATCTGTAGAGCCAGTCAGTGTTTGAGGGGGAGATGCTGCTAGCTCACTGTATCTGTAAAAATGGTCTGATATCTAGTATGGAGACGCAGCAGCATTCTTAAGAGTCCTCCTGTTTGCTGTTGAAGATGTTGTTTCTCTGTTTCACTTAATTCGTATGACTCCTTTTAACTGTTACACCTCCTTGCTCACGTGAAATAGTTTATTTGGCTTATTTAAGAGCAGCTATATTTCCATATAAAGATACGTCAATACTGGTAAGGGACTGTGGACATTCCTGTGTGCCTAAAGGAGTTACAAGGAGATCTGTGGCTGTTCATTCAGTAGTAGTTTGTATAACTTGGCATCCGTGTTTGTTTAGAGATTGTTTTAGGTGCTGAACATACCTTGAAATGATTGTCTCTCTGTAGGATATGAAAGACACATGTGGAAGTATCTTCAAGAATTGATTAGAAAGTGAAACTCCTCTAGTAGTATTCTGAGCTGAGTTCAGCTTTACTATGTTGCTATTAAGGAAAGATGATATATAATTAAAGCAGGCAGGGCACAGTGGCTGTTGCCTGTAATCCCAGCACTTTGGGAGGCTGAGGCGGGTGGATCAACTGAAGTCAGGAGTTTAGGACCAGCCTGGCCAACATAGTGAAATCCTGTCTCTACTAAAATTATAAAAGTTAGGTGGGCATGGTGATACACGTCTATAATCCTAACTAGTCAGGAGGCTGAAGCTCGAGAATCACTTGCACCTGTGAGAGGGAGGTTGCAGTGAGCCGAGATCGCAGCACGGCACTCCAGCCTGGGCAATAGAGACGTGGTCTGGCGGGGGGAGAAAAAAAAAACATACTCTTGGCCAGGCACCCTGGCTCACACCTGTATTCCCAGGACTTTGGGAGGTCAAGGCAAGAGGACCCCAGGAGTTTGAGACCAGCCTGGGCAACATAACAAGGCCCTGTCTCTACCAAAATAAAAATTTTAAAATTAGTCGTGTGTTAATGGTACATTCCTGTAGTCGTAGCTGTTTGGGCGGCTAAGGCCAAAGGATTGCTTGAACCCAGAAATTTGAGGCTTCAGTGAGCTCTGATCATCTTACTAACTCCAGCCTGGGTAACAGAGGGAGATGCTATCTCTTTAAAACCAAAACTTTCTGCAGTGCTTTGCTGTGTCTGCACTATCCAGCATGGTACCACTAGCCACATGGAGCTGGTACATCTCGAAATGTGGCTAGTGAGACTGAAGAGCTGAATTGTTGGTTGTATGTAATCTTAAATATTATATATTTAAGTTGGCATACATGGATAGAGAGCTACCATGTTTGACTGTGCAGTTCTAAGCTTTTTTCTTAAATTAGTATGTAGATGAATGTGATATTTTTTATTAAAATATCATACCCCTTAAGGTAGCTTTGTAGCAAATCTTTAATTTAGAAAGTATGTGATCCTTGCTCATGTTGTTACACGCTCTTCTACATTGATCTGCAGACAGTGCTTTGTGAACATCTTTGTTAACTAAATCTGTGGCCACGTCTTTAAGAATAAATTGTGGCCGGGGGTGGTGGCTCATGCCTGTAATCCCAGCACTTTGGGAGGCTGAGGTGGGTGGATCACCTGAGGTCAGGAGTTCAAAACCAGCCTGGTCATCATGGTGAAACCCCATCTTTAATCTTAAAAAAAAAAAAAAAAAAAGGATAAATTACAAGAACGGAACTGCTTCGATGGGAAATACGGTTGGTTGGATGGGTGGGTGGGTGGTTGGATGGATATATAGTGAGTGGCTATATATCCTACACCTAGTTACCATTTGTTAGTTTTCCTTCATGTATGTGTGTAATATTTTGCTGGATCATTTGAGAGTTCCTTGGAAACATCATAACACTTTACCCCCAAGTATTTTAGCATGAACCACCTAAGAACAAGGTTATATAAATAACCACAATAAAATTAATCACACTCAGCCGGGCGCGGTGGCTCAAGCCTGTAATCCCAGCACTTTGGGAGGCCGAGGCGGGTGGATCACGAGGTCGAGAGATCGAGACCATCCTGGTCAACATGGTGAAACCCCGTCTCTACTAAAAGTGCAAAAAATTAGCTGGGCATGGTGGCACGTGCCTGTAATCCCAGCTACTCAGGAGGCTGAGGCAGGAGAATTGCCTGAGGCCAGGAGGCGGAGGTTGCGGTGAGCCGAGATCGTGCCATTGCACTCCAGCCTGGGTAACAAGGGTGAAACTCCGTCTCAAAAAAAAAAATTAATCACACTCAAGAAATTTACCATTGAGGCCGGGCGCGGTGGCTCAAGCCTGTAATCCCAGCACTTTGGGAGGCTGAGGCGGGTGGATCACGAGGTCGAAAGATCGAGACCATCCTGGTCAACATGGTGAAACCCCGTCTCTACTAAAAATACAAAAAAAAAACTAGCTGGGCGTGGTGGCGCGTGCCTGTAATCCCAGCTACTTAGGAGGCTGAGGCAGGAGAATTGCCTGAGCCCAGGAGGCGGAGGTTGCGGTGAGCCGAGATCGCGCCATTGCACTCCAGCCTGGGTAACAAGAGCGAAACTCCGTCTCAAAAAAAAAAAGAAATTTACCATTGATACACACATATTCTGATTTTTTTCTGTTGTTCCCATAATATAATGCCCCATGTAACTTCTTTTTAACCCTCGTCCAGAACCAGGATCATACATTATGTTCGCTGGTCATGTCTTCTGAGGTTCCAGTTTCCTTTAGTCTAGAATTCCCTAGACTTTTTTCTTTCTGTCTTTTGATGTTTTTGGCATGTATACTTTTATTGTACTATTAAATAGATAATGTTTAAACATTTTTATCCTTTTACTAAGTGAAATAATTTTTTTGTTTTTAAGGTGGGTCATGATAACTGGGTACGTGGAGTTCTGTTCCATTCTGGGGGGAAGTTTATTTTGAGTTGTGCTGATGACAAGACCCTACGTGTATGGGATTACAAGAACAAGCGATGCATGAAGACCCTCAATGCGCATGAACACTTTGTTACCTCCTTGGGTACGTACGCCTCGTGAGGTCTCTGAACATTAGATTTTGGAGTGCCAGACATAACAAAGTTTTACATAATCATGTGGACTTTGCCAGGTAAGAAATGAGCATCTGCTTTCAGGGCAGAATAGAGATGGCAAATTAAAACTCTGTGGATTCCTCGAATTTGTTTTAAACTCTCCTTTGCTTAACTCTTTCCATTGTTAGCCTTATAATAAAAACATTACTTTCTCTACTGCACAACATTGTTTTGGAAACTAGAATTTGTGAAGAGGATACTTACCACTTTGATGGGTAATTTTTCTCCCCTATTAGTTTGTTTCTCAAACAAAATCTTCCTCAACCTTTCCCTCTGGCAGGTGTATGTTATCATGTACTAGAAACTCAGACAATTGTATTTAATTTTAGTAAGCATCCTCACTATCATTTGGACTTGATGTAGAATTTAAGGTAGTGAATACAGTCAAGTATAATGAACACACTAAAGTATAATGGACCAAAGCCTTGGTAAGATGCAACTGTTGCCTGCTGCACAGGACTGTTTCAAGGATTGGGCATGAATATAGAGCATTTGTGCTGTGCCTGGAACGTAGTAAATGGACATGGTGAGACCCTATTGTTAGATTTGAGGCCTGCTGTGCCTTTCGTCTCAGCTACTCAGGAGGCTGAGGCTGGAGGATTGCTCGAGTCCAGGAATTCTGGGTTACAGAGTGCTGTGCTGAGTAGATGTCTGCACTAAGTTCAGCATCAGTATGGCGACCTCCTGGGAACAGGAGGCTAAGAGGAGTGAACTGGCCCAGGTCAGAAACAGAGCAGGTCAAAACTCCTCTGCTCATCAGTAATGGGACTGCACCTGTGAACAGCCGCAGCACTCCAGCCTGGGCCACATAGTAAGACCTTGTCTCTGAAAAAAAAAAAATGAAGCCCCATTTTGGATGGGCCAAACAGGAACAGGCATTTTTGTTGAGATGATAATACAGGATTTGATTGTTGAGTGTCAAATTTCCTAACCAAGTTGGCAAACTAGATTCCTTCTTGGGGTGTAGGTATGTTAGAGAAACATGAAAGGTCCTGGCATTTGGACTTTATTATTTTATGGGTTATTAAAATTTTTATCTGGTTCAGTGTGATGGAGGGTTGGGGGCTGGGCAGGGTCTGGCTCTGTCAGTCAGGCTGGGAGTGCAGTGGTGCATCATGGCTCACTGCTGCTTTGACTTCTAGCTCAAACCATTCTCCTGCCTCAGTCTCCCAAGTATCTGGGACTACAGGCACACACTACCATACCCAGCTAATTTTTTTTTTTTTTTAATTTTGTATTTTGTAGAGAAGGGGGTCTCACTATTTTGTTGCCCAGGCTTACATGTGATTTTTAAATAAGCCGTCTCTTTTTCTTTCAGATTTCCACAAGACGGCACCCTATGTGGTCACTGGCAGCGTAGATCAAACAGTAAAAGTGTGGGAGTGCCGTTGATTGCGTCTCCTTTGGCCCCTCCTCCCTCTTTTCCTCTGGATGCACTCTGATGATACCATGGTTACCCCATTGAGCTCTGTTTAAATAAATATTGTCCTTTCATGTAAATTATTCTGGATGTAGATTGAGCTTATTAAATGTTACACACAAAGTATTCATGCATGGTGAATCCAAACTGTATACTGTAAATTTACATACGTTGTCTAGAAGTACCATAGGGGTTTAAAAACCTGGGCTGGCATTGCTCACACCAGGCCTAAGAAGGCAGAAGTTGAATAAATTGAACTAGGGCACTAAACTGAATAGTTGACAGTGTCATTTTATGTTGGATTATTAATTCCTGTTTTTCTTTCTGCTATCTGTTGGTGCCTGACTTGATGGCCTCATTTGGGGAAAAGTGGTGGT